CGCCTGGGGGCCCCTTCCGCCCCCACCACAGCTGAAATGGACGTGGGACCCCCCCCCCCAGGATGGTGAGACCATCCCCAGAGTGGGTGTTGGCTTGAAGACCAAACGAGATCACCAAGAGGTTCTGCTCGCTCAGGGAGGTGCCTGGAAAGCCCGTGGGAACAAGCCAAGCCAGTTCCCTTTGGATGGGAACTGGGCAGAGTTTGGGTCATGCCAAAAGAGCCTGAGTTGAGCCCCAACTCCTGGGCACCTGCTCCTCACCCACAGGAGCAGTGACCAACACCAACCTTCACCCAGAGGCAGGAGCACAGCAGGACATCCTTGTGCTGGCCCCAAACCCACCCCCCAAGGTCTCCTGTCCCCAGCCCTGCTGTCACCTCAACACACCAGCTCCCTGCCCCCCAGATCCACAACCTCTACCCAGGAGGACCCACCTGGGTCCCTCTGGGACCACAGAGGGGACAACCTGCTGCTGGGTCATCCCAGGAAGGAAGGGACTTGCTCAGACACCCTGGGGACCATTTTGGCCCAGAACTAACCATTCTTGGAGATAATTCTGACTTCTAAGCCCAACTAGCTCTGACAGAATCCTTCATAAAGATGATTCTCCTCATTCTTTTACTCCCACTCATCTCCACTCTAGTCCTGCCTGGGGAGCTGGTGACTCCAGGATGTCAAGGCTGTTCAGGAAACAGTCAAAAAAAGCCACATGAGCTTTTTCCTTCCTTTGGCTGAAATCCTGGGAAACACCAGGAACTCCAGGTGGGGAGTCTGGTCCTGCAGGAGCAGAAGGCAACTGGTGGGATCTCCTCCGTGAGCCCCATGTTTCCTTCTAGTCTTCAAGTTGAAGTTTCCCCTTCTTCCTCCAACTTCTGATGGGTCATGAAGAGCCAGCCAGGAGTCCTTCATCTCCTGGAAACCCTCCATTGCCCTTGACACGAGTGGTCCCGTGAGGACCATCACCCCCTTGAAGGGGCTGGAGACAAGGATGGGTGGGTTTGTTGGGTTTGTTGTCCCCTCCACCCCCCCAGTGACCCAACCATCTCTCCTGTGGGAGAGAGAGACCCAACCCAGCACCTCACCAGCTCATTAGAGCCCACCAGGGTGGGTTCCCCTGGGTGCCCTCAGCTGTTGCCAATTGTCCTTAAGGGAGTTGGGCTCCCACCACCTGGAGTGGGAGCAGCTGTGGGAGGTGGGAGCTAGAAAAGGTCCCCGGGCAGCAACTTGCTCCTCAGGGTGGACCCTGGTGGGCAGGATGAGGCCTGGAAGCAGCCTGGGGTTTGCTCTTTTCTGCTGGGTGTTTGGGGAGCTGGTTGCTTACAACCCTTGGGATGTCATCAGGGGGGAGGTGGAGCTCTGGAGGTACGGAGGGGACCTCCCCATGGGGCAGCCCCACACCTTCTCCCAGGCTTCTCCTTGGGCTTGGGTGGATGTTTCCCAGCTCCAGGCTGCAGCCCCCCTGCACCCTGTGGCCGTGCAGTGCCAGGAGGCCCAGGTGGTGGTTGAGGTCCACAGGGACCTCTTTGGCACTGGACGTTTGGTGAGGGCTGCAGAGCTGAGCCTGGGCTCTGCTGCCTGCCCCCCTGTGGCCCAGAGCCCTGCTGGGGCCACCACGGTGACCTTCCTGGCTGGGCTGCACCAGTGTGGCAGCACCCTCAGGGTAAGGCTGGGGGTTGGAGGGGCTTCTCCCCTGGGGAGGTGAGGTTGGAGGGGGCTGGAGGGCAGGTGGAGGAGCTCCGAAGCCTTTCCTAGAGGTTGAACATCTCCATCTGCTTTCCAGAAGATGTGCTGGCTGGTCCAGGGGCTCCATCTGGGGCTGGGTGAGCAGGGGAGGGTGTGGAAGGGGCAGAGAAGGGGTCTCTTCCTGCTGGAGAGAGGAACCTCAACCTGCCTGGGCTGTTCCTGCTGGTGGTGTCACCTCCAGGGTGGAGCCCAGTGACCTGGAGCCAGCAGTACCACCTTAGGAGACACTTGGATGCTGCTGGAGCAGCCTGAGGCTCCTCTGAAGCCACCTGAAATTGGAAGTGGTCTCTCTCTCTCTCCCCTGGGAGAGGCTTGGGGCCACCAGGGTGAGCAGAACCTTCATCA